AATCATACTCTCAGTACAGTGGCATCATTTGCCTTGCCAGGGAGCTGTCTGTCATGCCTCTGCATGAGTTGTTGCTCTGGGTCAGCCTTACAGAAACACAGAACTCTGCCTTATGCCAAGTCAGATGTGGTTCCATCTAGTTGTCTACACTGACTGGCAGCAGCTCTCCAGGGTTCTAGACAAGGAGTCTCACCCAATCCCACCTGGAGATGCTATTGATGATTGAACTTTGGGCTCTTCTGAATGCAAAGCAGACGTTCTACCACTGAGCTGTGGCCCTGCCCAGGGCAGATGCAATAGGTTGGAGTCAGAATTATAGAGTTGGAAGTGACCCCCTGGAGGCATCTAGTCCAACACCATGCAATGCAGAAACCAGCAAAATAATCCATAACAGATGGCCATGCAACCTCTGCTTGAAAACCTCTATGGAAGGAAAGTCCACTACTTCTCAAGGGAGTCTATTCTATTGTCAAGCGGCTCTTACTATCAGAAAGTTCTTCCTAGTGTTTAGTTGAAATCTCCTTTCTTGTAACCTGAAGCCATTGATTCAGGTCCTACCCTCTGCAGAAGGAGAAAGCAAGCTTGTTCCATCTTCCATGTGACAACCCTTTAGATATCTGAAGGTGGCTCCTCTTAAGTCTCCTCTAATCTAGGCTAAACATACCCAATTCCCTTAACTGTTCCTCTTTTAAGTCTTGATTTCTAGACCCTTCTTGGTCACCCTCCTCTGCACACCTTCCAGCTTGTCATTATATAGTCAATCTGCCTTGAGCATGGACATAATGAAGGAACAAAGTTCTTTTTGCAAGAGAAAACTTTCAGGGGAGCATCATCTTTTTAAGCATGGAGGGAAATGAAGGGAAAGCACCCAATATATTTGCAACTTGCTCAGGCTTTGCTGTGACCGATTAACCTTCATCTGCACACATTATAGCCTGCTAAAGCTAGGAACCCCTAGTTTGCTTGTGTGTATTTGTGTGTTTGGGTAAGTGCAGGTGGAGTAAAGTGGCAATGTGTTGCTAATTGGAAATGGCAGAGAGCTGGATGATGGAGCTAGGGCAAACAAAGCCAGCTGCCCACCCACCATCCAGGCCACAGTCTGACTGCTGTCGCACCAAACAGCTCTGTGGGGGTTCCCTTTGAGACATTGCTTTCATCAGCAGCTAAGGACCCTGAAATCCAGCAAGTTCTCTTTCCCCCTCCTTCCATTGCCAGAAACACGACCATGGCAAGCATGTTCTCCACAAGGCAGGGGTTTTTTGGGGAGAGGGCCTTTCCCAGTGCTGAATGTAGTCAATTGTTAAGCAATGGTCAAGGGATACCAGGTGGAAACTTTCCAATCAGTCCAGCCCAGTTGCCTGTTTTGTGGGCTTTGGTGGAAATCAAAACCACCTCCTGGTTGGCCTCTGCCTTGGTCAACCCCAAACATGCTGGGATCATGTTATCTTTTCTCTCTGATGCTTCAGGGTGGTTTGTGCCATGGAGCAGAAGCACCTACACGTTGGAACTCCCTGCCTGTTGACATCAGGCAGGGGCCTTCACTATACCCTTTTCAGCGCCTGCTGAAAACATTTTTATTTAAGCAAGCCCGTCCAGATATATAGAATGAAGACGTGAGTTTTAATCTGTTTTTAGTTTATTGTTATTTTAACTTTTTTGAAGGTCTTGAATTGTTGTTAATTCTTGTGTGTGTGTGTGTGTGTGTGTGTGTGTGTGTGTATACACTACAGAAAACCTAAAAGAAAACCTAAAAAGAAAGAAAGGAATTGCTGGCAGAAGCAACACACCCTTCAAAAGATATGGCTCAGTCACTCAGTCGCTAACCCAAACAAGCGCCTTCATTTTTCTTAAGTTGACTTGTGACTCAATATCCCCCTGCCAGGATTTTTTTCATAGCAAGATCCCACACACATGACCCATTAATTCAGAACTGCAGAGTCATTAAATACTCCCTCTTTTAAAACCATCCCTGGCAAGCTGAAAAGAGGAGTCAAAGGGAAGAGAGAGGGGTGTCTGCTAAGTTAATGAGTGCTTTGAATTATAGTCCCCTGAAAGAGAGGAAGCGAGACAGAGAGAGTATATAACTGGAAGATTTGCTCAGAAAACATGGTTGGCTCCCTTTCCAGATCATCCTGGCCACCAACCGCCCTGGAGAGCTCAATCTATATTTATCTAGGCACATCTCATTACACCATGCTCCGGAAAATTAAAGAGCCGGCGAGGAACTGGCTTTTATGTTGCCACTACTATTAGCCAAGGCTTTGGCCTACATTGTAATTTTGCATAATTCACTGAGAGGTTAATATGCCAAACCCTGGAGGCTAGGAGTCACTCTTTGGCCACAGCTAATGCTAGATGGGCAGCGGGGGGTGGTATTTGTCTTGCACTACAAGGAATGAATAGACAGGAGGTCCAAGGTTTACTTGAAATAGGGGGCATCCCTCTTTGTTCCAGCTGAGAGCTGCAGCCAGTCAGTGTATGCAATATGAAGCCAGATGAACATTTAAAGTACTGTGATGCTATTTTAAACGGCCATGGTTTCTTCCCTCCCAGAATCCTGGAAGCTGTAGTTTGTTAAGGACACAGAGTTGTTCAGAGACCTCTATTTCTCTCATAGGGCTGCAAGTGCAGGAGATTGGCCTAGATGACACTTTGGCTCCATCCTGCTCTACAGTTCTATGATTCTCTGAATTTTCAGGGTGGTTTAACAACCAGTACCTCTTCCCCCAGAACTCTGGGAACTGTAGCTCTGTGACGGAGGAACAGAGGTCTTCTAACAACTCTTAGCACCTTTAACAAACTACAGATCCCACAATTCTTGGGGAGAAAGCCCTCACTCTCTGTTTTATCCCTACAGCAACCCTGTGAGATGGAGTTAGGCTAAGTGAGACATTGACCAGCCCAAGGCAAGCTTTGTGGCAAAGTGGGAGGACTGGAACCCAGATCTCTCCAGTCCAAGCCCAGTACTCTAACCACTATACCACACTGCCCCCCCATTTTCTCCTGTGAAGTGTTAGCTGCAACGCTGCTTGCTTCCCCTCACATCCAGTAAGTGGAAGTAAGTTGTTCTGATTCTGTTCTGGCAAGATTAGAAAGTTTATTTCTCATTCCAAAATTATCAATCCTCTTTTTCCCTGTCTATGGGAATGCAGAGAGGTCAGAATACAAAAATAGACCTCTTTAAGGTGATACCTAAACCCATCAACCCTGCCCCGCATAGAGCACTTACTGTATCATTAAACAACAATGTAGATCCAAGCTTTGCATATCAAACACTCCAGTACCACAAAAGAGTCCATATTTTTAAAAACGCATTCAAGTCTGTACAGAGCAAAGCTACAAAGCAAGGCTGGTTGTGTGACATACACAGACATACAGTCATAACTCGGGTTGAAGTAGCTTCGGCTTAAGCATTTTTGGGTTGTGCTCCACGGCGACCCGGAAGTAACGGAGCGTGTTACTTCCAGGTTTCACCACTTGCGCATGCGCAGATGCTCAAAATAATGTCACGTCCATGCGCGGAAGCAGCAAATTGCGACCCGCGCATGCGCAGACGCATGGACACAGGTTGCATTCGCTTCAGGATGCGAACGGGGCTCCGGAACGGAGGTACCACTGTACATCCAGAGGTACCACTGTACATCTCCTTGCTTTTGGCCTTCCAGCATCTGAATGAAAGGTTTTGCAGGCAATAGTGGCTTAAAATGCAGTGAGGTCGTTTTTGCCCATTGGGCTGCAAGTTTATACATTGCTCTGCACACAGAGAGGAGGCAGGGATGCACATTACCAGTTTGGTTTCCCTGCACCTGCAGTCACACCCAAATTCCTATTCATGAAACTGTCATCTGAGCATGTACAATAACTGTAATGGACACACCTCAGATGAACTGCAAAACCAATGAGGCTTATGTTTTCATATTGAACAGAAGCTGGTTTGAGGGAAGACACATGAAATTTCTCAAGAAACTACAGGATCAATATGGATTGCGGCTAATGTTGTACTTGCTCAGAGAAAGTGAACCAGAAAAAGCTCTGTTCTCATATGTATCTCATCTCCACCACCAACCCAACTGATGGCAACTGACTCCTGCTATCAACTATGTAAGATGACGCGGCCAAGAATCTTCTTTTATTTTCCTCACAGGCAAAGAAAACAGCTGAAAATGTTTCCACTCAGGAAGAAAACAGAGGTACTACACTCCTGACAGACAAGGATTTCAAATGCTGGGAGTGCCATCGCTGTACATATTTGGCTCAGAAGCCATTTAGAAATGGTCTTTCTAGATTCTCATTTGACACACAACGCAGCATGAACCTCTGGTTCTGGAACAGAAAGACACCAAAAGCAATGAGGAGGAAATCAACCATTCCTTTGCATGGGTTCCCTTGGATTGCATGAAAATACAGTGGTGCCCCGCAAGACGAATGCCTCGCAAGACGAAAAACCCGCAAGACGAAAGGGTTTTCCGTTTCGGAGGCGCTTCACAAGACGAATTTCCCTATGGGCTTGCTTCGCAAGACGAAAACGTCTTGCGAGTCTTGTGATTCCCCCCCGCTTCCCCCCCCTTTTTCAAAGCCGCTAAGCCGTTAATAGCCTTTTAACAGCTTAGCCGCTAAGCCTTTAATAGCCGCTAAGCCGCTAAATCGCTAATAGCGCTAATCCGCTTAGCCACTAATGGGGTTGCTTCGCAAGACAAGAAAACCGCTAGACGAAGAGAATCGCGGAACGGATTCTTTTCGTCTTGCGAGGCACCACTGTATGTTTATTATATATTTATTTTCTTAAAGGAGGAAAAAATCAGCCACAAGACAGAGACAGTGTGCAGGGGTGGTTACAAGGAGGTCTCCCATCCAAGCAAGGACCAAGCCCTGCCTTGCTCAGCTTCAGCAAAGTAGCCTTGTGTGCCTCCAGACCATATCCCTGGGACCCATTATTTTATATTTATTAGTCACTTCATAATATTGTTTCTTGCAATTGACTTGCATACACATGTTCTTACCTTGCCAAAATCCCGCACATCGAAGAGATCAAAAGGGTCAAACAGCTCGCTGTTCCGCAGGCCAAATTTGTCATGGCACACTTTGAGGAACGTCCGGATGTTCTTCAAGCAGAGGAACTTTAGCCAAGAGAAGGGAAGAAAGAATTCAAGGGTCATTTCATTGCGGTAGATATTTACCTGGTTCACAAAGGGAAATGCACTGAAACAGATTTACACTAGTCATGTTAGTACAGTTCACGTACATCTTCACAGCTATCCCATGATTGCCACCTCCCCACAGAGGATTGTGAGCAACAGAGATTCCCTTGCTTCTTAATGCATCTACGAAAGAGGAAACAGCTGACTTTAGCTCACAGTACATACCCTTGGCCGCAACAATTTTCCCACTCGTGTGTGTGCTTGTTAAGAAGCTACAGATCTGAATTATGGCACTTCTTTTTATTTTGGCTTGCAGCAAAAAAATAAAAAAAAATTGCTGTTTAAGGATTTGATCATCACTCTTTTTTTACACCAAAACATTCTCCAGCATGAATCAAAATATAGACATCCCCCGACTTATGCAGGGGTTATGTTCAGGGCCCCTGTGCACATCAGTGACATCACGTAAAGTGGGGAGCACCCTCCAAAAAGTCTCTAAATGACTATTTTCCCCTGCTCCTCAACTCTTTCTCCTGCTCTCTCTTCACACAGCTCTCTCTTCAAGTAAAGTTGAAGCTCTGGGGTTGGCTGGAGGACACAGAAGAAAGTGTCTGCTGCTGCTGCTGCTGCTGCTGCTGCTGCCTGCATCAGATGCTAGGCAGGGAGGCTAAGCAATATAAACAAAGCCCTGTGCCTCCAGTCCCTTTGGGGCTTCCTCCACCCTCACTGATGTCCTTTTCGGCCTCAGGGGAGGGACTCTTTGCTAGCCATGAGGACTCTCCAGCTCTCTCTCGCCATTTCCTGGTATGATTCTGTTTATGTGTGTAAGTAGAACACGTGTGAGTGTGGGAATGCCTGTACAGTGGTACCTCTGGATGGGAACGGGATCCATTCCAGAGCCCCGTTCGCATCCTGAAGCGAACGCAACCCGCATCTGCGCATGCGTGTGACGTCATTTTGAGCATCTGAGCATGCACGAGCGGCGAAACCCGTAAGTAACGCACTCCGTTACTTCCAGGTCACCGCAGAGCGCAACCCGAAAATGCTTAACCTGAAGCTACTTCAACCAGAGGTATGACTGTACAGCAAAAGAAATCTATACAGTCAAACCTCGGTTGTCAAACATAATCTGTCCTGGAAGCCCTTCCAAAACGTTCAACAATCGAGGCACGGCTTCCAATTGGTTGCAAGAGCTTCCTGCACTCAAGCAGAAGCCAAGCCACATCGGACGTTTGGCTTCCAAAAAACATTTGACAACTGGAGCATTTACTTCCAGGTTTTCAGCGTTCGGGAGCTGAAACGTTCCTAAACACAGCCTTTTGGGAACCGAGGTTTGACTGTACAACTAAATCAATCAAATGCAATAAAGCACACAAAAAGCATTCCCATGCACACAAACCACCTTGCCCCCACAACACCTAAACCAAGAGTAAGAAAAAAATTTTCATCCTGAGGAAGCAAGAGCCACTACCACAATTTAAAGACGCATTCCAGCCAGGCGGCAGGATTTGTGGGCTATTCATAGTGTTAATGCATGGGTAGGCAAACTAAGGCCCGGGGGCCGGATTTGGCCCAATCGCCTTCTAAATCCGGCCTGCGAACGGTCCAGGAATCAGCGTGCTTTTACATGAGTAGAATGTGTCCTTTTATTTAAAATGCATCTCTGGCTTATCTGTGGGTCCTGCCTGCTGTTTTTACATGAGTAGAATGTGTGATTTATTTAAAATGCATCTCTTGTGAGGCATAGGAATTCGTTCATTACCCCCCTCCCCAAAATATAGTCTGGCCCCCCACAAGGTCTGAGGGGCAGTGGACCGGCCCCCTGCTGAAAAAGTTTGCTGACCCCTGTGTTAATGTCAGCTAGCAATAAAGGGGTTTGTTTTATTTTTTATTCTTATTATTGATTTTCTCTTTTCCTCTGTTGTATGTGCCAATTAAAATAATAATAATAATTGTGGAGGGATTCAAAAACCAAACATTAGCATGTCCTTGTTGGTGAGGCATTTTCCTTTTCTATCGGCTTTTTCCAGCTCTGCAATATTCCTAAGTGAGATGAGGATGGCCAGAAGTGTTGTATTATTTTATTTTTAGGTCAGCTGAATGTATCATCTTCTTCTTTTTCATATATAAGAAAAGGAACCGGCAGAGCGGGGATGGACTGTGGGGCAGCTCCCCAACGGCTTGGCACACGGTCAAAGCTCAGCCAAGCATCCAGATCACTTCTGAGAGCTAATGCAATCCCTCTTTTTTCCTAGAAAGTGGGAGGCTGCCTCTCTGACAAGGGCAGTAATGGACTGATAGAGTGTGACCATTTTGCAAGACAGCATCCCTCTCGCTCTCTCCTGGGGCCCTGCAAGAAGCACCCAAAAACGTTTTAATGTGCTGAAATCAAGCAAAAGAAAGGGTCTCACTTACAATAAATGGATGACCAACTCGCACAAGGTGATGGGGGAGATCGGGGTGATGGGTGGGGAGTCTGCAAAGACCCCTCATAGAAGAGCCCCTAAGTGACCACAGGGAAAAAGAGATTGCCATTGCCAGGTTGGGGGTGTGTGAGATTTATTTAGAGCATTTGTACCCCACTCTTCAGCCAAAAAGGCTCACAAAGCAGCTTAGATACAATCAGTGAAACCAAGACAATCCCTACCCACAAGCTAACAATCTAAAAGGATATGATACACAAGGTTAAAGGGACAGGGAGGGAAGAGGAAAACTTAAACTCAGGCAGCAATTTCTAAACAGTTGCTCCTATAATGACCAGCTGGCACAGTTGAGGGGCAGGTAGGGCCTGATGGAGCTGAGTCTCCAGCAAAGCTGATGGACTGAGTCATTCTGCTCCTATTTCTCCTGCTGAGGCACTCTGGTGGGGTGGCTGCCCTCATGCTGACAGGTGAGGGAGAGGAAGCCTGATGGAGCTGGCCTGCTGAAGCAGGGCCAATGGAAGGCGCTCTGCTTTGCAGGATGGATGTGTGCAGGATACATTGTTGATTTGTTCAGGTGTCCACCTCAACATAAAGAGGGAGTTTCTGCATGGGGCTCCAGTTTCAGACTATTGAGGCTCCTCCACTCACAACAGCTGCACATATCCAGCAAGGTAAATCAAGTTTTCCAAATTTCATGAATGGATAAGTAGGGATATAACTCGTTTTTAGCTTGTTATGATTTTCTTGTTTGCTTTTATGTTTTTATATTGTTGTAGACCTCTGTGATATATCCTTACAATACAGCAGTATGTAAATATTTTTACAAATTAATAATAAATAAGGAGGCAGTCATTTCTGTCCCATCCAGCATCAGCCGCAATGAGTGTTGTTTCTATTCTGCTACAGTTCGGCTTCTGCTAAATTTGTTATTTGTCTTGCTAGCTGCTGTGGCCAAAGCTTACGTAATTGATTTCATACGTAATTAATTTCAGTGTATTTGAATGGAAGGGAAGCGCCAAAAACAACATAAACAAATACGGTAATGATTTACATGCAAATGCTGAATGGATTCGCTTGCATGCTTTCCATTCCTGACCCCAGACGGACTGCAGGAATCTCTGCTCCCACTTGCTGTGAAATTGCCCTACTGAGAATCCTCTCCCACACACAGCTAGTTTCTGCCTAGGATTAAAATATCCCTTTGGCCAATTTTCAGGTACAGGTTGAAACTCTGTTCTGTGCTTCCAGGCTGTTTTGTGATCAGATGGTCCTGATTGCTGACTGGGGACCAGGGACAGAGAACACCCTTCCCCCGCCCCAACTGAAAATGCCCACACTGCTGTTCCATTATAATTCCTCCATGCAAATCTATGATGCAACTGCACTGGGAGTACCATGTACAATTCTGGCCATGTTATCTCAAACAGGACATTTGTAGAGCTGGAAAAGGTTCATAAAAGGGCAACCAAAATGTTCAATGGGCTGGAGCAACTCCCCTGTAAAGAAAGGCTGCAATGTTCGGAATTGTTTAGTTTAGAGAAGAGGCAAGTAAGATAGAACATTATGCATAGCATGGAGAAAGTGGACGGAGACAAGTTTTCCTCCCTCCATTTCTCAGAATGCTGGAACTCAATAGGGGACATTGAACGAAGCTGAACTGAAGATTCAGGACACACAAAGTACTTATTCACACAACACACAGTCTAGCTTTGGAATTCGCTCCCACAAGAGGCAGTTGTAACCACCAACCTGGGTGGATCCTTCAAGGAAGTCAAGGCAGCATGCACTGATCTTCTTATCCTCATTTTATCCCCACAACAACCCTGTGAGGTAGGTATGCTATATCACCCTGCGAAGTGATAGAGCAACTGGCCCAATGACTCCCAGCAAGTCTCATGGCAGAGCAGGGATTTGAACTCTGACCTCCTTGTTCCAAGCACAGCACTCTATCTGCTACACCACACTCCCTCTCCAAATGAGTTAACTTGTTTTCTGTGGTCGGGCCTTTCATAAGCAGCGGACTGTTCCTTCCACGCAAGTGCAATTCTGCAGAGGATAGAGAGTTACAGCTGCTTTTCTTAACCAGGTAGAATTTCCTTCCTGGCGCTTGGCATTTCAGCATCACAGCCGGTCTCGAATTCCCAACACATACGTAGCTGGCTTCCCTTTAAACCTCCCATTTTCAAAAATGAATGGTTTAGCCTGTGACCATAATGACACAGAGCCTGGCTGGCTCTTGGTTCATAGACCTGGATGTGAGCTGCTGCTGTGCCTCCTACTCTCTGCAAATCACATGTGTATGCAGCAAGCCTCCCCAAAATTTGGCCAAAGGAGCAGCAAGCAAGCAAATGCCATTGACGCGTAGGAGTCTGCTTCAACATGAGCCAGCAATGGTCGCAAAATGAGCCCGGGACCATTCCTATGGATGCTGCCAATGGTTAGAGGGTTGGACTCTGTGGTGCGGTGGTCCAGGGTTGCTGGGGGATCAAAACCCATTACTAATTCTGCAGCAGGGTCCTTGCCTCCAGCATCCTGCCCAGTCAGCATGAATGGGGA